GCCCACCCACACACCCACAAACACACGTACAAACCCACTCACACATGCACATACATACATAAACCCACACATATACATACACATACACACAAGCACACACACACACACACACACACACACACACACACACACACACACACACATACACACATACACACTCACAAGCACACATATAAATTTTTTTAAACTCACAAAATCTCACATATAAAAACAATTATGTATATATCTATTGCTTTTTATAGTAACGACAAGCCACCAAGATGACCTGCTCACAGAATGACTAACTCTCTTCTTGCGCACTCGCTCGATCCATCTCTTCCAGTCACTCAGTCGTCCTGTTTATCTCCAATTATCCTACGTAATAATTAATAACGTGACTGATTGGCTGACTGACTAACTGACTGACTGACTGACGGAAAGACAGAATCACTGACAGACTGACTGACTGAATGAATGAATGACAGAATGACTGACTGACTGACTGACCCGTCAACTAACTGACTGACAAGCTGACTCACTCACCGACTGACTCACTCACTGACTCACTGACTCACTGACTCACTGACTCACTCACTGACTCACTCTCTGACTCACTCACTCACTGACTCACTCACTGACTTACTCTCTCACTCATTTACTGTCTCACTCACTTTCTCACTCACTGAATCACTCACTGACTCACTCACCGACTCACTCACTGTCTCATTCACCGACTCACTCACTCACTGACTCACTCACTGTCTCACTCACTGACTCACCAACTGAGTGATTCCCCAACAAATTACTTGACGGCCTGTTCCCCCAGTTCAGTTTCTGACCTGGGAATAGGAGGTCACACCCCCAACACACCTTTAAAGAAAGACCCTTCAATGTCAGTAGAGCGCAAACGGTCGTTAAAAATGTACCTTGGAACACATCAGCTCGCAGATTATTTTTCTTGTGGAATCATGCTCCCGTTAATGATTTTAAGAAATAGATTCTGAGAGTTATCAAAGAAAATTTTCCTGATAGATGTTTTGACACCTAATGGTACGTAAACCTTTAAGGGTTTCAGCCTACATTAGTACTAAACATCAATAAAGCACCAAGTGTTCCTTGCTAACACAAATGTTGCTTTCTGCAAAAACCACATAATTGCAGAATATTGTAATTCCTTTAAAAAAAAAATCGCCACAAAGTTTAAGTACTGAACATAAATCCTCTTGGACTAATTGGGATAGACAAAGCAGACAGAAGCTGGGTGAAAGTAAATCAAACAACGCCAAGGTTTACTTACATAACCACATCGATGATTCCCAGTCAAAGAGTGTTTGTTTTATGTAACATCGGCAAATACCGATGCACCACATGCCCATTAATCGGGGATCGAAAGCCTTCATTATTATATTCCTGTTAGGAAAACGGTGACGATACCGCGACAAGTGTAATGGGGTTTGTTTGTTTTTAAAATAAGTAGCTGTGAAGCAATGTTCTCCCCAGTATTGATATTTACCATTGGTGTGATTAAATCTGTAACTTATGAAACCCTGCTGTCATGTTGATGTTACAAGTGTCATAATAATTGGTGATGACATAACCCAAAAAAGAGATGAAAGTTTTTGGTCCAAACAGTTGCTGCAGAGAATATAACAGTTTAAAGCTAAAATCTCTATAAAGTATGAGTTAAATCTTTCAGAGCAATTTTCTGTTGTTCAGACCACTTAGAATAAAACCATGCTCGTCAACAACACGTCGGTGCTGTCTGAAAGAGAGAAACGCTACAGTGACGTGCTCACGGCGTATGAATACAACACCTACTTCCGGCAAACGTTCAGCACTGCCTGGCTGTTCATCACCGGAAGTGGCATCATTCTGAACAGCGTGAGCATCCAAGCGTTCTTTACCATGGGTCTGAAGGACTCCGTGACCACCTCCATGTTCTATCAGTCCGTCGCAGACTTGGGCTTTGTGCTAGCCGCCTTCATCCAAGCTTTAGCGTTTGTCGTAAGAATTTTTGATGTGAGGGACACAACAATTCTGACCCTTGACCCGTTCCTTATTCTAGCATATTTCGCTAACATAAGGCAGATCTTTTACAGCGTCGCCATCCTAACAACCACTTTCATAGCCGTGGCCAGATGTATGTGTGTTTACATGCCTCTGAAATTCAAAGGTATGTTTACAATCAAACGCACGGTAGCTACACTGTCAGGTTTTACGATATTCGCTTTCCTGAACCACTTCCCAACCGTACTGACCTTGCAAGTTGTTTCGAAAGGGCAGAACGTTACGAGAATCGGCGTCAAATTCAGCAAAGCATACAGGCTGGCTACAGATATTGAGCTTCTGACCAGCGATGGGATTCTGTCATCAGCCACAGAAGTCATCGGAGTTATTTGCTTCACTGTGTTGGTCAGATGTCTTCAGAACTCCTCCAAACAGCGGAGGGTAATGAGAGCGCCATTTTCTCCTGGTGATCACGTGATACCAAACGGTGACTCAACAGCGACAAAAGCCATTTCCCTGAGCGGGAAAGAACTACAGGTTGTGAGGCAGGTGGCGCTTCTGTGTGCTATTTATATCTTTTGCAACATTCCAAACGTCGGGGTCGCAGTGTCCAGATTGATCATACCTGGGTTTCACCTGGGAGGGGGCCTCAACTTCCTCTACTCCATGGTCGTCAGTCTGCGAGTTTTGTTCGACTGTCTCAACAGTTCCGTTAACTTCTTCGTCTACTATAAGTACAACTCTAAGTTCCGAGGTGCGCTTTGCGGTGAAGGGAAGGGAAAAGCTGAAACACGTAAAACAGTAATCTCCCACGGCACCCAGTGTAAGGGAGGGGGGAAGGGGGTGGTGTAAAAAGAGGTAAAGCTAGAGGTCAATGACCACAGATTAACAGAACAAAAAACTAAAAAAAAACTCAACTTCCAATGCCCCCCCCCCCCTTACCCATGGGGAGATTTGTTTACTATAATAGCGTTCATTCTTTAATACAAAAGAATATTGCACAAAATAATAAACAAGTCATATTACTTGCTCCACAATAGTGATATCATGATGATACCATGCTATTGCTGGTCGCTGCTGGGCAGCACAAGGATTTTTAGCTCATGGAATATCGTGTCTTGCTTAAGGACATAACCAAGTAACCACCCTTCTTAAAGACGTGTAAATGACAGACGTTTGTTAGCTTGAACTCACTAACAACTAAGATGAGATAAGATAAGATAAGATAGTACGCCACTGGATCCCCCCCCCCCCTTGCCTCTTACGCCCATCTCCTCCCAACCGTGATGCCCGACCAAAGTTATTCCCCTCTGCTACCAGTATCATATTATCAGGTGAGTTTGCCCTCATTACAATAAAACTTATTGCGAAAAAGACAACTCTAATGTTTCTTTCATCCCTCTTTATGCAAAAGATGCATTGCAGCTTATATCGAAATTGTTGTTTGATTTATCATGACACTGCTACTGTATAAGAAAACAGATGACACCCCGTAAACAGTGTGCCAGATATAGAAGGGGTCTTATTGTTGTTGTTGTTGTTGTTGTTGTTGTTGTTGTTGTTATTGTTGTTGTTGCTGTTGCTGTTGTTGTTGCTGTTGCTGTTGTTGTTGTTGTTTTTCTTCTTCTTCTTCTTCTTCTTCTTCTTCTTCTTCTTCTTCTTCTTCTTCTTCTTCTTCTTCTTCTTCTTCTTCTTCTTCTTCTTCTTCTTC